TATATATATATATATATATATATATATATATATTATATTAATATATATATATATATATATTATATGTGTGTGTGTGTGTGTGTGTGTGTGGTGTGTGTGTGTGTGTGTGTGTTGTGTGTGTGTGTGTGTGTGTGTGTGTGCGTGTGTGCGGTGTGCCGACGCGGCGCCGGGCTCACCTCGCGCGGGCGTGGCCCTCCTGGCGGGCCGGGCGTCCTCGGCGGGCAGCGTGGCGTACTGCTGCACCCTCTCCACTGCGTTCAGGCACATCTCCGTGTCGGCGAGGAAGCGCACCACCCAGTTCAGGTAGACGGGCACGAGGAGCGTGTAGTTGATGGCCAGACCGACCATGGCCGGCTTCAGTTCGTACTGGAACACCGTCGACCACAGCAGCGTCGCCACGGTCGCGCAGAACACTATCACGCCGCCGATGTAGTCCTGCGGAGAGAGAGGGGGGCGTTGGCGGCGCTGGCAGGAGGATTCGTGCCTTCGGTGAAGCTTTAAAGGACACGCACACACTCGTGGGGCACAGGCCACCGGCACTTACGAGACAGATGCCAAGCCAGCGGTTGCCGGCGTGGAGGAGGGTGAAGGCCGTGACATGCGTGTCGAGGCGGTGGAGCAGGACGTCTGTGAACCTGCGCTGGTGCCCGTAGGCGCGCACGACCACGGCGCCAGCGACGCTCTCGCTGATGTGGCTGTAGAGCGGCGAACGCGATAGGCTCTCCAGGCGCTTCAGCTCTCTGTAAGAACGAAGGAATCAGGCTTTATGTTTTGACTTACACTTACGGAAAAGCGCTCCTGTGCCCCTTTAGTGAGCCTCATGAATGATGTTCGACGGGTGCGTTTGGTGGAGAGCTTCGGCATGGCCAAATCAATGTACTGCATTTGTTCTGTATTCAAGGGACACAGAACACAAAACTGAAGCCATTTGCTGCTGTAACTATCTTGTACTGCAGATGGCTTTATTCAGTCTATCTGTATTTGTGACATATGAACAGAGATAAAGAGAGAGAAAAGAAAGTTGGATCTCAGACCAGAAGAAGATGATAAGGAAGAAGAGAAAGATAAGGGGGGGGGGGGTAGACAGAAGAGCATGACCAGGAAGACCTAGGATTAGAAGCCATCGGCTCAAGCCCTACCTCGAGGAGCACCGGAAGAACTTTTGCACGGCGTAGTAGAGTCCGCAGATGGGTACGGCGACCACCAGGAAAGCGGGCGTCACGACGGCGTTCACCACGACCGCCGACGTCACCATCAGTACGAAGAAAAGGAGGTGCGTCACCGACCGCGCCAGCTCCTGCGGTTCGCGGGGACGGGAAGAGGAGTGAGACGGGGGCTGATTCGGCTCCATTTCACGATGCCACTTTTCATTACATACTTTATGAAGCATTCTAATCAATCAGTTGTAAAGGACACCTCATATTTATGACATAGGACCAAGGATTTGTATATAATTACCATTTACAAAGTTCAGCCGCTTGAACAGAGGCAATCAGTGACTGGCATAACTTCATTCATTACAGTGTTGTACAACTTGGGTCAGGGCGTATCTGACCTACCTCATGTCACTTGCTGCCCCTCAGCAAAATATAATGGGAGGAATAATCTTCAAACACTAGCGGCTATAATTCAAACCAAATTTGCAAACACCTTTGCTTCTTGAAAGGAGGATATGATATTCGATCAAACAGGATTCTCATTGCAGGGAGCATTAAACCCCATAGCCAATAACAAGAGGTCCCGGTAGCGCGGCTCGACTTGGGGACAGCTCAGTCTGAGCGAAACAAAAGGGTCAGAATAGGCCGGGTTTTTTTTTTTTACACACAACTAGAATGCTTAATGCTCGCAATTCAAAGTCTAATCCATTGATAAATTAATTTTCTACTTCTCTAAGCAAAAATCCTTTTCCTTCTGTACGTCTTTTGCTTCTAGATTTACTCAATAATTTTTAGTTTCCTCCAACGTTTGATATTTCTGTTAGCTTTTTAAATATATGAATTAGAAATGTATTTCAATCTAACGTCTTTTATGCAAAAGCGTATAATATAGTTTAAAGTATGTTCTTAATGCAGAACTGCATACGCTTTCTTTACATATACTTGAATGTATAACTTTTGTATATATATATATATATATATATATATATATATATATATATATATATATATATATATATATATATATATACTATATATATATATATATATATATATATATATATATATATATATATATATATATATATATATATATATATATATATATATATATATATATTATATATATATATATATATATATAATATATATATATATATATATATATATATATATATATATATATATATATATATATATATATATATATATATATATATATATATATATATATATATATATATATATATATATATATATATATGTCAGGTCTATCAGAATTCGCCATTGTTGTCATTTTGAAGCCAAACAGTTTGTACCATAGTAGTATTACTGTATAAGACTTTAAGTGACGGATGGCTGATACTTCACAAATGAATAATTACATTCTTCCTCACTGACCAAATAATCTAGATTCGTACAAGATCATAACAATCCAATGTAACCTTATGTCCCTTTGGTGACCCTGACCTTATCAATCATTGCAGTGTCCGTGGTGAACCGGTTCATGATCCTGCCAGCGGGAGTGGTGTCGAAGAACCGCACGGCGCACTTGGCCAGGTTCTGGAGCATGTCCCGGTGGAGCCTCTGTCGCCCCCGGGCCGCCGCCACCTGGCCCAGGATGTTCGTGGACAGGGACAGGAGCACAGACACGCCCGAGAGGCCCACGTACACCTTGTAGTAGTAGTCCATCTGCAGGAAGCGGGAAGGTTGAAGGTGTTTGGTCTGAAAGGAAACAGTTTTTTTTTTTTTTTTTTTTTTCGTCATTCTGCTTGGCCAACATTTTCTGGTCATCTGCTTTTTTTTTTTTTTTTTTTTTTTTTATCTATTTGTATCTTGCTTCCCTTTGCCGTTCTTTTTCTTCACAATTTCTTCCCCATACTACAATTCTCTTCCTCTTCCAAACCCTTCTTCCGTCTTTATCCTTCATCGTTTTTTTCTCCCGTATTCTATTTTATCCCTATCTTTCCGACCTCTCTTCCTTCACTCATTCCTCGTGTTTCCTCCACCCCACCTCCTTCCCTTCTATCCTTTTATTTTTCCTCCATCATTCCTCTTTCTATTTCTCTAATGTTCCTCACGCCTATTCCTCTCCCCTCCTTTCGCCCCTCGCGTTCTCCCTCCTCCCCCTCTCTCCTCACCGTCTCTTCCACGAAGGCCGTGTATCTATCGCTGACGCTGAGGACCAGCGGGTCCACCGGCTTGGCTCGTTCGCCCGGCAGGCTCTTCTGGCGTAGGTGGGTCTCGTAGGCCTCCCAGTGGCTCCTCTCCGTCATGTTCCACGCGTCGGCCTTGCCCGACCACTTGCCGAGCCAGAAGTCCAGCATCACGGACACACCTGCGGGGGAGAAGGGTCTCATCATTCTGCTTTGTGTGTGCTGCGCCGGTCTTGCTTTACCGGAAAGAAGGATAAAGGGGGAGAGAAAGGGAGGGCTACGGAGAGGAAGAGGAAGGGAAAGAAGGAAATGGAGAAAAGAATGGGTAGCGGGAGGGAGAAGGAAAATGAGTAAGAGAATGAGAAATACGAAGAGGAAAAGGGAGAAAGAGGAAAATACGTAAGGAAGAAACAAAAGAGAAAGAGGTAAGAGTGAGAGAGAACGCAAGTCAGGCGGCGCCTTACTTTGGCCCAGCAGCGCGCAGAAGAGGTATCCGAGGCCGAAGGTAAGGCCGCACGCACGCAGGTACACCACGTAGTTCCACTTGGAGATCCTTCCTCGCTCGCGCTCCTCCTCGGCCACCAGCCTCCCATCCCCGACGTCCTCCTCGAGAGGGACCTCTTCCTCAAGTTCCAGGTCTTCATCGAGGTCGTCCCCGAGGTTGTTTGAGGAGGAGATGACACGGCCCAAGTGCCATTTATCCGAGGGCGACGTGCTCGGACGCTTCGTCGACCTGCGGAAGAAAGTCTATTCTGCTTACGTGTGACGGGCGCCTCAGCGTGAGGCCCTGCACCTCTCCGCTAAATGTGAATCGTGGCAGTTGGTGCCTTGCAACGACATTACTTTTACTTTGCTTCCAAGCAGCTGAATGAAAAGTAAGTGAACTTAGAAAACAGAAAATAAATGTGTGTGTGTGTGTGTATGTGCAAAACACAACCACGTGATCACAAAGATGAAAATGAAACTAGCCACAATGAGAATTGAAAATAAGCGTGACGTTTCGAACTCTTCGCGAGTTCTTCATCAGACAAAAACCGAAATGGATACTAGGAGAGAATTTTGGCAAGTTTATATAGTGGTAGAGAGACAGGATGAACAAGATCTGAATCAGGTCTCAGGGGGAGGGTCAAGGTCGAAGAGTCTGGGGAAGGCTTTGCTAACAAGTGATGAGTTAATATCATCTAATCCCCATTGGCCAGCACTCAAATTAAAATTAGGCAATTTTCTAATTATAAGGGCTTCAATTATTTTTCTTTCGTACGAGTTTGACGACAGCCAAAGCAGTTGCCTTTCCTGTTCCTCGTCAGAATAAGACTCCCGCTCCGGCCGCCGGGACGAGAGGCAAAAGGAAGCACATCGAGCCTTCTCTTCCGCTGCTGCAGGAGAGGGATTCGTCTATTCTTTGCAGTCTCACTTATATGCGGAATAGATGATGGAAAATCTTTGCTCAACTTTACTTATAAAGTTCTCATTACGCTTTGTAAGTTTTCCTTTCTCGAGATGAAAGGGGAAGAAAGGAAAGACATTTTTATCTGTGAACAAATTATATACGGAATAGAAAGATGAACATAATATATGCATACGAATGGAGCAAAAAGAGATGAATCAATAATAATGAAAAATATAATTATATACTTATAATAAGAAAGGAAAATAATTAGAATAAGGAGGAAAAGCAGGAGGAGGCGCTGGAGGAGAAGGGGAGGGAGATAACTAAGCAGAGAAGCCCTCCGAGAGCTACGCACTTGATGGAGGCGCTGGAGAAGAGTCTGTGCAGCATGTTGCCCTGCGGCGCGAAAGCGGGCGTGGAGCGCATGCGGGGCAGCGGGCGGGGCTGCGGCGGGAGGCTCTTAGCGTGGCGGGGCAGCCCTCCCCGCGCCGCCCGAGACGATTTCCTGCCGAAGGCCGGCGCGCTCGACTTGATCCTGGCGAAAAGGGCCCAACGTTAATGGTCGGTACGAGGAGGCCGTGTGGGGCCTCGAAAAGGTTTCCGCCGAATATATCGGAACAACAATCGCTTTTCACTAACACAAATCGACAACAAACAAATGAAGCAGGTGGACAGTACGTCCGCCCATCCACCTTCTGCCTATAATCAGGACTGAGGGTCACCTGAGGGTCCTCACACCTCGGAGGCTCACCTGAAGAGCGGGAGCTTGGAGGGCGTGTGAGCGAAGGCGTGTCTCGGCAGCGGCGGCGTCAGAGCGGGGAGGTATTCGCATTCGTCCCCCGGCAGGAGGGCGCTGTGGCTCACGTGGCGATTGATGCTGTACTTCCTAACGGGGCGCGGGCAGAACTCCACCTCCTTGCTCTGAGGTGGGGTGGGGGGGGGGTATGAGCATTCAGGTAAATAGGGGCTGAGAGCCGGCACCGTTACTTATTTTACTCGTGCCTGTTATTAGCTTACTTTACAAAGAGCAACAAGGATCAGGAACAAAAACGCAACTTATATCAGCCAAACTTTGCTATCAGGACACGAACGTACCTCTTCCCTGGCGCCCCTGCGCGTGTGGTGCGGCGACGCCGAGCCCCTCTGGATGGAGATCCTCGTGACGAGGCGAAGGAGCGACCACCTCTCCCTCGCGGTGCGCCCCTCGAGCCGCCCCTCGTAGTCGTAACCCCCCACGGGGGCCCCCTCCTTCGTCCCCCATTCGCGCCACAGCTCTGGCGCTGCCCGGGCCATCTCCGAGGGCGTGCCCTGGTGCTTGATACTACCGCCTTCCAGGTAGATGATCTGCGAGAGGAGGAGGATGACGTGGGTCACGCAGACTCTTTTCTTCGAGGCAACATGCATGTGGATGTCCTTGAAAAGTATGCATTCGTCCTCTCTACTAATGAGACAAGAAAAATGTACACACACACACACACACACATACTCAAATTCACATACGTACGGGCGAAAGGAAACGACCTGAGAATAAGCGAAGGACTCACTTTGGTGGCGTGGCGAGTGAGGTGAGTAAGGTGCGTCGCCAGGATGACGGTGCGTCGGCGTTGGAGGAGCAGCTTGACCACGCCCTCCTCCCACACCTTGGCACTTACGCCTGCGTCCAGGGCGGAGAAGGGTGCGTCCTTGATTGTAGAGCGCGGGAGACAGAGGGAGAACGTTAGATCGTGAAGTTAGGAGTAAATAGGTCAGTAATTATACAGATAATCATGTAAGGAACAAAATGAATGAGAGCACATCAAATCACCGCCGCCTACCATGATGACTGTGCGGGCGTCGGAGTAGAGCGCCCTCGCGATGGCCACGCGCTGCCGCTGCCCGCCCGACAGGTTGATGCCCCGCTCCCCGATCTCGGCCTGGTCCCTGGGGGGAGGGCGCGGTCAGGAGAGGATGTTCAGGGGGGAAGAAGAGAGAGGGAGGGAGAGGAGGAGAGAAAATGAGACAGAGAAATAGATTTAGAGACAGAGAGGGAGATTGACAGAGCTAATAAAAGGAATGCGTGCAAGAAAAAGGGGACACGATATCGCAATCACTAATTTTCAATATATCACGGCACAAAACAAATCGAACAACATTAAAATCATTCATGGCATATTCTTGCAGCGAATCGCTCTGCTCGCTTGACCGGCAACTCCGCAAGCGCCCCCGGACTCACCCTCCTGGCAGGATCTCGATGTCGGGGGCGAGCGCGCACGCCTGGATGACCCTGCTGTAGCGCTTGGCGAGGAGCTGCCTCCCGAACGCCACGTTGTCCCTGAGGGTGGCGTGCATGAGCCACGGGTGCTGCGACACGTACGCCACCGACATTTCGCTGGGGAGAGGGGTCAGGAATGTTAAATTCGCTGGGAAGTGCGCTTCATATTCAAATCTGGGACGACAGCATCACCGATAAGCATCCTTACCCGTTCCACTGAAGTTCTCCCCTGAGTGTGTGCATCTCGCCCAACATCGCCAGCAGGAGCGAGGTCTTGCCCGCGCCCACGCCGCCCACTACCACTGTCAGCCCGCCTGCGTGACGACAAGAAAAAAAATTGTGTCAACCGAGGAATAGTTCTAAAGACGACGTTAGTATCGTCCATAACAGTAATTGCAGTAACAGGTGCAGCAATTTACAGATGTAACTGTAACAGGCAGTTACTGCCGGTGTAGTGGCAGTAATTGCAGCAGTATTGACAGTCACCATCGTCATTATCATTCACACATTTTTGCATGGCCGATCGCCATGTCTGCAGAAAAATCCCGCTCCAAAGAGAGAAGCCAAAGCAGATGTGAGGCGCTCTTACCTGCAGGCACCTCCGTCGTGATGTTTTCGAGAACGCTGTGGCGGCAGGTGGGATCCCACGCGAAGGAGCCACTCTGGATGCGCACCGCTACCTTGCGGCCGTCGCCCCCGCGCTCGCCGTTTCCTCCTGACAGAGGGAGAGGGAGGGAGAGGAGAAGGGAAGAAAGGAAAAGGGACACGGTTGAAAGTGGGTTGATCGTTACACAATTGATATGGTAATGAGAAATCGTATAGTTTGCGTTATCATTTGTTTTATGTCATCGTTTACATCATCATTATAATTGCCCTCTGATCGCCTTACCGCTCCTTCTCTTCTTCCAGCCTTCGAACTCCAGCTCTTCATCGGAGTCACTGTTCAAATCGACAGAAAACGGAGAGGTCCCGTTTTCTTTGGAAGATTTCTTGGACACACTCGAGGCGTTTGAGATTTCGGAGCAAGTCGAGGTCGGCTGCGTTAGGATTTAAGGAATATTTAAGCTTGCAAATTATGTACGTTTTTTTATGAGATTAAACCTCAAAAGATTACAGAAAATTGGTATAACTGCTGTGTTGAAATAATGATTTACAAAACTGATAGTTTACCCAGAAGAATTCGATTGGATTTTATTTTTGCCTGTCTTCTCTGGAGAATGTTTGGAGTTTTTTTTCTTTTCTTTTCCTATTTGACAACGCCTTTTCACTTTAGGTTGCATCTGAATTACGCTACATATATTTACACATTTTACCCGAATGCTGGTTCAACAAGGGACACTGAATATATTACGTAAAAGACTAGTGTTCTTCTCGGTCTTCGGACTCATAGATGGAGTATATTATCGATGATTTACAAAAAAGGTGGAAAATACAGGTAAAACGATAAAGTCGTATGTCAATATGAAGCCTTTTAGTTTCAGCTCAACATCTCTTCTGTCTATGCCTATTGAGCGCACGTTCAGACAGGCGATTAAGGAATTAAAAGCGGTTGTCTATTTCTTCTTTTTTGTGTCAATTCAACTTATCTGTTATGATATGATAAAGTTTGTTTAGAATGTATTTTAATTTTCACATGAAATGACCGCTGCAGGCTTCACGTTGAGCAGATTGTAAATAAAACAAAAGAAAGATCAAGAAAACCCACGAATATCCTGGAGGCCTTGCCGCATCTTCAGACGTACCCTGAGGAGGCAGTACAGCGAAGAGGCGAAAAGGCCGTCGGCAGATTCACGTTGTTTTATTCACACATACATACTATCACTCTCGCCCTCTCTCTCTCTCATACACACACACATACATACACGCACGCACACACACACACACACACACACACACACACAACACACACACACACACACACACACACACACACACACACACACACACACACACACACACACACATATATATATATATATATATATATTATATAATATATATATATATATATATAATAATATATATATATATATGTCTTGATAAATACATCGGTGGATAAAAAGTTTGTGTTCATATCCTCACCCTGCTTTCCTCGACCACACGCCCCAGGCGATTCTGCCTCAGGTCGTCGAGGAGTCCTTCCCCCTTGGAGTTTCTGGGTGTCCTGCAGACTTTCCCTCTCCCTCCTGCTCTACCTTTAGCTCCTCCTCCTACCCCCCCGCGTAGGATCCCCATCGGCCTGAGGGTAATAGGGGTTTTGGGGGTTCTCGGCCCCTCCACCTCCTGCATATTCAGGAACTCCTGCAGGCGCCGAGTGCTGTTCTGTGGCGGCAAATGCGTTAGGTATACCGCCGTCATCGGGCTTTCCTTTACTTAGTGTCATCAATATGGCAGTTTGCATCATACTAGCTCTGCTTCCACAAGCATTACAACGAGGCTAATAATGATTATCATTCTGCCTCTCCTCCTCTGCCTCTTGCCTATCGTCCTTCTGCCCCCCCCCCCACGCCCCCCTACCTTGGCCCTGATGGTGTGCGAGACGATGATGGGCAGGATGAAGAGCGGCACCGTGAGCTGGTTGAAGAGCGCCAGGCCCGAGAAGACACGGGCGGGCTCCAGCGCCGCTCCCTCCAGCAGAGAGTACAGGCCGAAGGTCACGAGGCACACCACCACGCCGGAGCCCTGGGTCAGGAAGGCTGTCGGGGTCAAAGGGCACGTGAATCGGGGGGACGACCGGAGGAGGTCACGGGAAGAAAAACAATGCGCTTGAAAGGGAAACATTTTCTCCGCGCGTATGATTCACTCATTACGCTGACGCGATTCAAAAGCCAAGCCTACTTTTTTGAAGACTCACCACCTCACCTATTATACGCTAATCACATAATATTGACAATAATTAATAATTCAAATTAATTAAGAATTTAACATAAAAATGAAAAGTAAAACTAATGGACAAATATATAAATGAAGTGAACACGTAAATAAATAAATCAGTCAACAAAAAGCAACCCTAGAAACCAATCTAAAATCCATAAACTAGAAATTAAATTAGGAACCAGGCGTTCCTCCCGGATCTCCACCCTTCCTTCCACTCCCGGACCCGCCCTCGCCGCCCGTACTCACTCATGAGGGCGCGGTAAATGGAGTCCCTGTAGAGGAGGTGCAGCTCCCTCTCGCGGGTGCTGGTGACGCGCCGGATGAACACGTCCTCCCACGCGTGCAGCTTCACCAGCTTGATGCCCGTGACTAGCTCGTGCGTCTGGCGCAGCCGCTCGTCGCTCACGTCCTGAGGGTCGGCGGTTGGGTCAGTATGTCCACACACTCACACACACATAAACAATTGTCGAACGTACACAATTACATTTTATCTGGGCATGTGTGACTGTGCGTGTGTATGTAACGACGAGAGAGCCCTTATAAACCAAAGATTTGCACAGTGTTTCTCACGGAGCAAAAGCATCTCGTTTTCCAAAGAAATGCCATCAATGCAAATGGTCCCCCAAATCACAAAATGAAAAATGCTTTTCCTTCTGCAGGCGCTTGGAATCCGCACGTAAGAAGAAGCCTCACCAAGAAATTCTTATTGACGGCGGCGATCTTCTTGCAGAGGACAAACTGCAGCGGCGTCAGGAAGAGGATGCCAGCCACGGCTGCCACCACGGCCGAGGCGCCGAGCTGCCACCACAGGAGCGCCAGGATCACGCCGATCTGGGAAGGAGGTGGAGGGAGGGAGGAAGCAAGTAGCCAGGATGTGATATACCGTGATATAGTCTAGTGAGTAATAACATACTGTAATCATTGGTTATGACACGTAGCAAAATAACAGAACTGCAGTCGATCAACCTGTAACTATAGGAACTATGCCCACTATAATGTACATCTACATAACAGTACATTTAAGCCAAAGACTAAAAAGTAGAGTAGCGCCCCCTTACCTTGAGCGGGATGGCCCAGATATAGTGGCAGTGCATGAAGAAGGTCATGATGCTATCTGCGTCCTCAGAGCTGAGGTTAATGACCCCACCCGCGTCCACGCCTCCGCGAGCGCCCTGCGACCCGTCCTGACCTGGGGAAGTGGGGGAATTAAACACTTTCAGAAGCCATGAGTCTCGAAGGTGATGTTAATGTCTCTTCCACTCGCACATTAAGTTATCTAACAAAATACAGAGGACTAAACAAGACAAATCAATAACATAACCATTGAATAACTTAAAAAGGATAAACAAAGCAAAAGAAAAACGCGCAATGAGGCACGCCCACCTACCCTTGTCTTGGCTGCCTCGGCGGGGACACGCCTCCTGGCTCCTCCTGTGTCGTTGCGGAAAGCCGCAAGGAGACTTGTGGATGACACCAATGCAGGCATGAGAGCGGACACGCCGATTCACGTGGATGCACACATTCCATCGCCGAGAGCCGAGGGAGATGAGGAGAGTGAGAGAGAGCGCACTGACTGAGAGAGGTGGACGATGAGCGGCAGAAGAGGGCGCCACCGAGTGACCGAGCACACTGGCCGACCACCCGACGAACCCCGTTACGCACCACTCCGGGACCAGAGCCAGCACACTAGAGAGCACAGTAGACTATGACGTTGAAGTATATGTGATGCATGGTGAGGTCAGTATTCATCACACCAGATAACAAAGAATCGTCTAAGTTTTTACACTGAGACAACAGTCACGATAGTCATATTAAGTATACGCCAACAATTGATATATGATAGCACGATCAACTACACACAGTCGTGTGCGCAGTAAAGGAACACGTAACACTAGCATCCCGATGTTCTGAGCGTAATAATCCTCTAGACTGATATACTCGACGCATTTCTCCGACAGATAGTCTATGTCTATGATTCTTGATGAATCGAATCATCGATACAATAGCAGCTCACGACATTGGTAAAGCATTTGTCACATGTGCGGACTATAGAAAAACCAACCTATACCCAGCTGTGTTTGTATTCTGTTGTGTTCATGCATCATACAACCATGGACAGCTACCCCGATCAGCAAAAAAAAAAAATAGTAAAGAAATA